TATGTTAGATATTATTAGAAATACGTATTCTACTTGTTAATATAATAAACTAAATTTGCGATCATTTAAGGAGAGAAGTGCGACGACTGGATCACTGTGTACAGAAGGTTGATATGCCAACAAACACTTTCCAGACAACAATATATCTTGGATAAGTCGCTCCACAACATTGACACCTGGACCGTTGACTTCCTATGAGGCCACATATTTACTTATTTTATAATGGAAGTATATTATTTTATAGTAAATATATGTTTTCTCGTGTTCTGCATTAAGCACCAACATTATAGTCAATAAATATACCATATTTCTTCATTATTTAAGTAATGCTAGGAGGCTTTGAGTAGCTTTGGGTCATTAGGTGAACAGAATCTCCAATAGATGGGGCGAGAGTCGCGCTATCTCTCGCCCGAGCGAGAGTCGAAACTTATTTTAGAATTGATATATCTTTGTCCTCCAACAAGATATATTTCCTTTGGTGCACTCACAATAACGAGCATATCTCTGTCTTTCTGAAGGCATATAATATTTTAGGCTTTATAAGCGTATCTTTGTTAATTACACACTATATTGGCAAGTGCGTAGGCTTCTGCATTCCATGACCGACAAGCTACTGAATGCCACTATAAAAACGTATGTATCTTCACTTGAGCTTTATATATGTCTATGTTAAAGTATTTAAAATGAAGCTTATATTTCTATCTTTCTTGAGACATATAAAACATATGTGTTTATTAATGAATTTACGTGAAATAAGCATTGTTCTGAGAGAGAGTTGCTCTGTCGATCAGTCTGTGCGGGGTCGGAGCTCGGCGATTATTAAAACACATGTATCTTCATTAGAACTTTATATATATCTATGGTAAAGTATTTAAAATGAAGCTTATATTTCTATCTTTCTCAACACATATAAAAACATTTGCGTTTATTAACGAATTTACGTGAAATAAGCATTGTTCTGAGAGAGAGTTACTCCGTTGCTCGATCTGTGCGGGATCGGAGCTCGCCGATTAGAAAAATACACGTATCTTCGCTTTAAATACAAATATGCCCATGGTAAGGCATTTAAAATGAAGATTATGTTTCTATCTTTCTTGAGACGTATAAAAATCTTACGTTTATTAACGATTCTGCGTGAAATAAGCATTGTTCTGAGATGAATATTACGGATTTCCGGCTCTACGACCGATGAAAAATGCAACTTTTATACAACTACAAATATCTTTAGTTTTACTTTAAATTTTGTCCTGAAAAAGTTTTCATATATAGATCCAGTTTCTGCCGTTCTTCTGACATAAAAAGACCTTTGGTTTAATAAGTTATTAAGATGTTTTCAACAATATTACTAGGGTGTTCACCGATTCTAACATGGGCGACCCTTTTGGAAACGCAACACATGGGTTGACCTGATTGATATATGGGTCAGATTCCATTAAGGTTTGGAACATATACAACAACAGACTAAGAAACACAACAACCCAAAGTTCCTGACACAACATTGGATGATGTTAAATATTTGCTTTCAATTTGACGTAAGATATTGCTCGTTAATGACAAATTGAGTGATTTTAACTTACTGAACTAAGAACATTTATGCTTTTAGACAATTATTAACATCCAGGATGACATTTTTCAGAATATTATTCTGCACAAGTTGCATAAATAAATACAAATAAAGTTCTGCCTGTTAGAGCTGTATGTTAACCTTGAGATTTATAAGCTTATAACTGTCTTATCATAACCTCCACCTCAGACGACCACAGCCAGACAGTAAGGGAGGCGACGAAGACCGTCTCGGGGAACTAAAGAACATCTACAACGACGGAATAACATAACACGACATTGCCTCTCACCACGTCAAGTCTGTCATGTGACACCAGACTCTGATGTTGATGCCTCTCGTTAGTCTTGCCTCTCATGTCTTCCTACTTGGGAGCCTGTACACTGAACATTGCTACCTTCAACACTGCCAGTGTATCTTCAGGATGGATATAGGGTCCACAACTAGTCACTCGATGTGTATAGGGTCCACTACCACCCGTTGGATGGGTATAGGGTCAGCTACCACCTGTAGGATGTTAATAAGGTCCACTACCAACTGTTGGATGAGTATGGGGGTCCACTAGCTACCGCTCACAGGATGGGTATGGGGTCCTGTTACCGCCTACAGAATGGGTATTGGGTCTTCTACTGCCCACACAAGTGCGGTAATAGACCTAATACTAATCCTGTGGATGGAAGTGAACCCCCCCATACCCATCCTACGGGTGGTTGTAGTCCTCATATCCATCCTACAGGTGGTAGTGGACCCCTTACCCGTCCTGAGGATGGTAGTGGACCCCCATATTATAAAGGAGGGGGGAGGGGATAGAAATAGCCTAAGCCACTCTATCCTTTTGAGATGTATTCATTTTTTCTTGTCTCACTAGACATACTTGAACTTGAATTAATTATTAAGGGCCTGCCCGAAACGCTGTGCGTACTAGTGGATTTACAAGAATGTGAACACATCATGATATGTACTCTCATAAACCCAATGTAACTTCTTGTATATAAATAAATAAATACCCACTCTATGTGCAGTAGTGGACCTCATACCCATCCTGTGGGCAGTAGGGACCCCATACCCATCCTACAGATGGTAGTGGACCCCATACTTATCCTTTTGGGTGGCAATGGACCTCAAACATCGTGTGACTTCTCGTGAACCTTATGTCCATCCTGTTTGCAGTAGTGTACCCCATAGATATTTCAATGTCACATCGTTTTCTATTGATGTTCCTACAACCCATTCTCTAAGATTTTCAGAGCTTACACTACTACACTAAAAACACGATTATATATAATGTTGTTTAGCGAAAGCATCATTATTATATGTAATGATTTATAGTGCTTATTATAATTTACTGAGAAGCCCCAAGATTTCCCCCAAGTGCAAACCTTTAACAGGATGCACTGTAGAATAGTGTCTTATTACCAAGTCTCAAAAACGGTCGGAATACTTTCTAAAATCAGATATTATATTCCAAACTCTGCTCTCCTCTCATTATACTACGCTCTATTCTATGCCTATATTACATACGGTATATGTGCATGGGATTCAACAATTGGAAACTACCTCACGCCCATCATCGCCCAGCAAAAATCTGCTATCAGAACAATAACAAACTCTGTTTTCAGACAACACACACGGCCCCCGTTTAAATCAATCAGCATGCTAAACAAACTCACTCCACACATTCTCTTGTGCCATTTGCATGTACAAAACCATGTTCCTAGAAGCAAACTCTGATCTGAAACTTCCTCGACAGATAGAACCCATAATCACCACATCAGAAATAAATATATCTTTCATATCCCACAGTCAAACTAAATATGTGTAAACACGATGCAAATAAAGGGTCCTAGGGTAAAGGACCTTTGGAACTTACTCCCTAACGAATTAAAAAGCTGTCCAACCTTCTCTTTATTCAAAAGTACCTAATTTCATCCACATTGTCGAGCCTGGCATGGGGAGTAGAACTCCCAGAACCCCATCAAGCAGGTATAGTTTTCTACCTAGCTTGTTATGGGGTTGCGTCCAGGGCGGGAGTCAGTAATTTTGTCTTGTGGGAGGGGGGGGCTCGGTATGTCTACCGTGTATATATACACTCTGGCTTCCTGTCCCCCGTATACCCTATCCAATTCATTTTCTATAACATATTAACTATATTTTCTTCAATTTCATAGCATATATCCTATTGCATATTCTTGTACAGCCACTATCACGCATAGCGTTTCGGGCAAGTCCTTAATCCTAATTTTTACATACATTTCCAGGAAGCTACAGAAGTATGGCCAATACGCAACCTTGCCAGAGTCGTTTCCCATCGACGGTTAAGGTGGTGGTAGGACGACGGCCACGAGGACACACAACTCAAGAGTACTCTTGAATACTAAGGCAGAGTACGCAGTTTGTTACCAGTAACAGACCAACAAGCCTGCCAACGGGTAAGGATGGAGGAATGGATAACCGGACAAAAGTCGGAATAAGAAATACCTTTACAGGAGATGGGACAAGTGCGGATAACTTCCCCAGTGACAGCGTCCACACGCTCATTTCAAGACACCAATATCATTAAAATATGAGCAGACTTCTGCTGTCCATGGCGTTGGGACGGGTACTATGGGATGCACTAAATTACACGAGTTAGGGTTGGTGCATGGCAATAGCTAATAACTGTAAATCTACCACAGGGAAACTGTAAACATTAGCATCATAGTAACTATAAGCATTGTGACAAGAGTAATATGGTATCCTGAGGACAGGATGCTCCATCCCCCGACAGGGAGACAGGCAAGACGAGGGACAGGGTATGGTGAAAACATGGGCAGAAGAGCAGCAGGGCAAAGCAAGGCAGTACAGGGGAAGATGACTAGGGGAGGAGGGGGGATAAGGGGGGGGGGAACAGGGAGGAAGAGGGTGGGAATAGGGGGAAGTCACCGACACTCCTCACGGCCCTCTACACTTTCCACGTTTATCCTCCCGTTTCCTCCTCTTATCCTCTTGATCCCCATATCGTTGGGGATGAGAAGGGAGGAATGAGAGTACAAGAGAAGGAAAAGGTGGGGGAAAGGAGGAGAGGATGAGATAGTAGTAGGGGAGAGGAAAGGAAAGGTGGATGAGGAAAGGACAGGGAATGAGAGGAAAGAGGGAAAAGGAACAACGATGAGAAATCACCAAGCTATTACAACTATACAGCATTCGTTAGGGACAGCAATCGTTAAGGGATAACGATTCGAGATGGAATGGTGCCCAACCACTTGGACGATCGGGGATTGAACGCCGACCTGAATGAAGGAGACCGTCGCTTTTCTGTCCAGGCCAAGTGAGCAGAAGAAAGGTAGGAGGGAAGGGGAGCAGCAGAGAAGGGGTGAGTGGTGGTGTGGAGGGGGAGCTGAATATTTAAATTGATTTAGTATTCTTGATTTTACAAAATATTAGGATTACAAAGATCTTCTGGGAGTCAACAGAATTTATTTTTAGTAAATACAGTCGGTCAGGTAAACGGTTGCCGTAAAGCTTAAGAGGATTCCTTTTTAAGAGAAGATATGGATGGATGGATGCAAGTTGCCTACAGCATATATTGAGAACAAAATATGCCTCTTCTTTTCTGTAACACACCAATCACACACATTAACCCAAAATTGTTCAGAATTCCCTAGGAAAAAAATGCTTGTCAAAACTGTCTCCTTAAATCACTATCAAGTTATCACATGGTTAAGTCCATGATGGCATTTACTATATCATTATTATTCTTCTTGAGGGCTCTAACAGCTTTAGCTCGAGAAACGTTGGCTTGCGAGACAACAAGTTCGATATCCTTCTCCTCCAGCCCAGTCTCGTCGACTTCTTCGTCGTCCTCTTCCTCATCCTCCTGTATGGCAGCAGGAACCTGAAAGTATAAGAGACTGATGTAGCATCTTTCAAAGGTTTAATCTGGTGGAAGAACTTAAATAACATTTGAAATGTCCAGTGTAAATGCAACCAAACCAAACTAATCACCCAAACTGTCACAAAAAAAAAAATTGTCTTTTTTTTCTACTATAATAACAATCACCTATAATCTTTTTATTCCATATACTGTAGTGCAATTTTATATTTACTCAGTAAGCAGTTTCATGAGTTAATTTACCGAATAAGTGCAGCTATACAAACAGCACAAAGAATCTTTATAAACATTGGTAGTAATGGTAATGTGCTAGTAACATTTAGTGTATATATTTTTTAAGGCATTCACTACTTCCCATGCCTGGAGACCCAAAACTGAATACCCATGTTCAGCGACGCTTTCTCCTAGACCCACGTTCAAAAGCACATTTCATGGGAAACCAAACATTAAGATCGGATATTAATATTCAATTAATATTCAAGGTAGAATGGTGTCAGTATGCTTTTATGTAATTTTCAATATTTGGAGAAACATGAATTTGATGACCAAGCACAAGGACTTTTATGGTGTCAACCTAATATCTATACAATTTTCTTATCATAATGCACCTTTCAAATTGCCTACATTTATGTCATTCCACAATTTTAAATACTATATACCCCAGAAAAATATAAAATTTAAATATAACCTAATAAATATCCCTGTCACTTGTGAATCTCTCAAGTAGCGTGCACACTAGTGGAAACCGAAAGTTGTAATGTTTACTTCATCTTCTATATATCTTGTACTGTATTTTAACATGTGGTTGTAGTAGGCATATTAGAGGTTTTTGACAATTTTGCTGATTTAGTCTAGTCCAATGATACTCATGCATGAGGATTTTTTTTAATAGAATGTGGCAGAGAACGGTTAACTGGCCAAGAACAATGACCTAACCCTACACTATTTTTTGAACACAAAAATAAATAAAAACTATTAAAATAGAAAAAATTAATACAAATAAAACCCATAATTAACCTAACTCCCAATATCACTGCCAGGAAAGTACTCTGTTTTCACTCACTGTGGTGTGTGCAGCGGTGTCGGCGGCTGGATTCACAGTTGGCTCCTTGAACTTCTCAGCAGCTGCCATCTGGGCTTGTTGACTCATGTCTTCAATCTGTAAAACAATGCAGTGTCAACGAAGGCCTTAAATTAACAAGTATTCACTTCAGTATCAACCACATGCTTTTTTTTGGACAACTAACTAAAATCTAATGTAGCTGAAACTTAATGCTATATTTCATTATAAATGGGTCTGAATTTAGACAATTTAGTACTTCTTATTTCTTGCAAGTAGCTTCAGTTTTTTAAATTTGTTCTTTAGGTATTGAGTAATTAATCTCTACTATTGCAACAGAATTACCATATTTCATGGTACTGTTCATCTTAATATAAAAATACAAATGTCCATTATGAAAATAATAAGGTGTTAATTATGCACCCAAGAGAAACTCATCTATATGTATGTAATGAAGTACTGTACATTTCAATGTACTGATTTGCAATATATATATATGGTACAAGAGCAATCTGAAATGTTCTGGGACAAAATAATGCAAATATGCACTAAAAATGGTCACCTCAATTAGTGACAAACATTTTATGCAATCTCAAAATTTAATCTTATGAGCAGCATTTATAAACATTTATTCCAAGAATAAAAATACATTTACAGTATATATCCTTGGACAACTTGCAATCAAGCCTAGTACCAGTACTATGTAGACATCGGAAGAATCCTGTACTGGACAGGTTGTGCACTTGTTCTTTGTTCCGAGCAGCAAAATTTAACGTGAGAATCTAAAATCATAGCTATTTGACTAGGTGCACAAAACCCTTTCAACATTCTAGTACTGTCATACTCTTTTTTTAGGATGTTAAAAGAATGCTTGTCCCTTTTGTTTACTATCAACACTGCATAAGCTTTACTTAGTGCTCAAACTCATTTGTATTTACAAATAAAATAAAACTTTTACTTCCACCCCTTAGTTCTATTGTCCCTAATTCCTTTGGTATCCTAGAAGTTATACTGGTATAGACTTTGGTGCGGCTTGCTCCTAGTGTCTTTAGCCTGTCACACCTCATTTAACTTATCGCATGTATCAGTCTTTCAGCTAAATTTGTTATCAATCAAATTTTCTTGTGTTTTACCAGGTGCTGATTCACTGCAAGAGTTCTTGAAAAATCCTCCTTGTTTGTAATGTTGGCAATTTTGTTGTGTACATGCACCTCTGATACATACCTAGATCGGCCTGAGGCCAAGTTCGATATGTACACAATTAGGTCCTATTCCTTTTCTTTTATTATCATCATTAGTATCCTTGAAATGGCTTCCCTCATTCATTGCACCGTCCTCTTCCCTCTACTTCAATTTTAATACATTACATTTGTTAGGATCAACTAGTACTCCAAAAGTATCATACAATTCCAGATTTCCCAGCACTTGACATTTGAGCATGGTATTGACTAATTATCTATGCTGCCCCTCAGTATCAGACAAATGTGATTGCTAAGATTCTTGTAATATATTTTCTAACATGTGGTATGTGATGACTATTGAAGTAAGCTATATGATACGTATTTGTAATGTTTATTATTATCTGTCTATCGTTTGGAATTGTGAGCCCCTTGAAGGACAAAGTAGATGAAGGTAGAAATAGCATATGCTAATCTATCCTTTTGGGATGTATTTATTTTAATAATCTCAATAAACTTTCTTGAATTAAGTCGTGTTCCCTTACCACCACCTTGACAAGTTTTTTACCAGTAATGGTTTCCATCCTTTTGTCATAATTTATACCAGGCCTTCATATAATTTTACATGTACTGTAATTACAAATGAAATCCATGCTTACAGTAACCAATAGATATCCCTAATAATGCAATTCAAACAGACCCCTAACAGAACAATCCAAACTTGTTAAGAGCTAGAAACAAATGTCCAGTCAAGTCCCAATGCATCTGTGAACAACTAGTGAGGAAAGGGAAAATGGAGAATGCCACAGAAATGAAGCCAAGAGGAAAATTATGTGTAATTTTCATCTTTCTGCATGGACATTATTTTTTCTAGCCCGGTAACTTGGTCCATTACTGTTGACTATTTTAGTGAAAGCATACATCCTCAAATGATATAACATACCGATATTTATAACCTATATTTAGAAGACTAAACTGATGTACTATCTGTAAAAAATGTATTACTAGAAATTGAAGTATGAACACAAACATTATCTTACCTTGGCTTCACCAAACACAATATAAGTGTCAGATGCAGGATTCTTGAATACATCAGGTTTATTGATAACAAAAAGAATATTCTTGCTTTTACGAATAGTGACACGGTTAACACCAGGAACTTGCTTCAACCCTAATTTTGACATGAGCTTGCGAGCTTTCTTCTCCGACCGACTTTGCTTGGCTGCCTTGGCAGATTCTGTAACTGTTGGTGCAGATGCAGAACCACCCTGTTCTAGCTCTGGCAGAGATTCCTGCAGATTAATAAAATAGAAGTATAAAAAACAGGAAAACTAGGGATGATTTACAGTATTTGTCATCAGCCAAGTTGGTTATGTATCACCAGGTTGTCATTTACCTGGAGAGGGTCTCGGGAGTTCTTCTACTCCCTGAGCCCGGCCTGGAGCCAAGGCTTGACAACAGTGGTGGCCAATGTAGCCAAATTATAGTGGCTAATATAATAAAAATTATTGGCAGCAAATAGGGTCTGAGTATTGACTGAATTTTTCTGTTGAGGGGTGAAACTCAACAGACAACCGAGTCACTGTGCAGGGTAATGTTTTGGTGATGAGACGTCACTAAGTCGTACAGGTTTCACAGTCCTTTGACCTATTCTGTTTCTGACATACGTAAACAATCTCTCAAAGAACAGACTCATTCCTCTCAATGCTTGCTGATGATGCAAAAACTATGGGGGTTAAGACTGAAGCAGATAGCAAGAGGCTATAAGATGACCTACACAAACTGAAAGAATGGTCCAACAAATGGTTTAAGTTCAACCCATGTAAATATAAGGTAATGAAACTAGGTGGAGGGAACAGGAGGCCAGACACAGGTATTGAATGGGAGACAGTCCTCCATGAAACGGACAGAGAAAAAGATAGGAATTGATATTACCAAACCTGTCTCCTGAAGACAACACACACACCAAAAAAATAATCAGCGGCATATGCGAGACTGGCTAGCATCAAAACTACCTTTAGAAACTTGTGTAAAGGAATCATTTAGAACCTTGTATACCACATATGCGAGACCAATCCTGGAATCCATACCTTGTTAAGCATTAGACAAAGCTGGAGAAGGTTCAAAGGTATGCCACTAGATTAGCCCCAGAACCAAGAAGAATGAATTGAGAGGAAAGGCTGGGTGAATTACACCTCACAAAGCTGGAAGACAAGAGTTCGGGTAGACATAACCAAAAACAAAATTCTCAGAAGAACTGACAGGGGTAGACGAGGACAATATTATTTAGCACAGGTGATACTCGCACAAGGGGACATAGGTGGAAATTGAATACCAAAACAAGTCACAGACATTAGAAGGAACTTTTACAGTTTCAGAGTAGATAATAAATGGAATGCATTAGGAAGTGATGTGGTGGAGGCCAACTCCATATAGTTTCAATTGTAGATATGATAGAGCTCAATAAGCTCAGGAACTTGTACAGGAGAAGATAGACAGTTGAGAGGCGGGACCAGAGAGCTGAACTCAACCCTCGCAAGCACAACTAGGAGAGTGTACACACACTAGTTTCAAAGTACTGGGAAGAAGGGGACACCAGGAGCATAGGTCTCATCTCTGTAACTACACTTAGGTAGTTACACACTGACAAATCCCACAATACTGATAGAACAAGTCTCTGAATACATATTGCAAGCAACCCAAGCACCTTAAGGCCTAATTAAATTGGATTTACTTGTAACATGCCCTAATTTTAAATGAACAATGTATTTGGTAATGAAACTGATATTATGCTGCATTCAAGAGAATGATCGACATTGGTTTAATGCATACTAGCAAAAAGTAATCTAATTTTTATATACAGTATTTCATTATTTTTTTAAATGTTTAAAGGAGTTGGGAAAAGAAATATGAAGTTAATGGATAAACAAATATTTCAATACTCAGTATCTGGTATATGAAATTATTTTAATCATTTACATTAACAATCCGTATTATTACAATTTCCACATCCTCAACAATAAATTATTTTACCTCCGATGCATCGGAGTCCGATCCTGAGCCAGCCTCCGGCTCCTCCACAGCTTCAGCTGCTGGCGGAGAGGTCTTCTCAATCTCTGTGAGCTCGGGCATTTTGATGGTAATCTTGGCAGTTGGTCAATGCCTGGAAATAAAGATTAAACTATATATAAAAGGTTTAATGAGACTGCACAACAATAGTCTACAATATTTTGAAAACAATGGAAACCCATTATATAAATAACAACCCAACCCCCATAGATGAAATGAATTTCAAGTGACGATGCTTCAGTCCACCCTGGACCCTCAAATCGATGTGAATCCTGAACCGACCAAAACATCAACATTTAATGTGTTGATTGGGTTATTTGTTTGAACCATGTTATTGTGAGCACAAATAACACTGCCAAGAGACATACCTTACATAAATGCAGTCTATAAAAGAAATAGGTAAAAAAAATTTGAGCCTTACATTTCACGGCCCCTCTAAAAATAAAAGGAATAACAGATTGTAAAGGTCTTTTAAAAATTTCAGATATAAAACATTGTTTTTGCCCTATGGGTCTGTAACCAAAAAGTAAACCACCTTATTCAGAATTATTTTAATGTATCCACAAAACAGATTAGAAGATATTCCACACTAACATTTTAACTTACAACAATACTCTCCTATACAAATCAAACTGTATACATTCTATCTGAAGAAATAGAAAAGTACATTCCACGGTATAATATAGTACTATACTACAATACAGCGCTCTACCTGTATCCACTGTAAAAGATATGGTAGAATGGGTCAATTTAAGTCCTAGGTCAAGCAGGTTTATTTGAAATAATTCAATGCACTTCAACGTATTGTGCTGAATATACATAAAATGCAATATTCACAGAAAACTACAGTACTGTACAGTACTAGGGTAAGATTACCGGTTCTCGGCCAGTGACAGGCCAACTGTGAAATCATTAGATGAACTTAAAACCCAGAAAAATAGCAGGAACTCTTCAAATATATTATAATACAATGCTGAAAAATAGAAGACATAGAAAAGCAAAGATTATTTCTTTTAGATTTGAAAAAACTAAATTTCCTTTTCCATGCATGTGCAACCTAGGTACACCAAAACTAGGAACAGCATACTCAGAAGTTTACAATTTTGGCATGCAATTTATATATACTGTATACAGTATATTATATCACTGTCTGCTCATTCTATGTTATTATATACATATTGTAGGATAATGTTTTATAGGTACAGGTATCTTATATGTGCAAATGCAGTATACATTCTTTAATTTTTACAGAAGGATAACTAATCAAAATACTGTTGAGAGACTCACAAGTCAAGTCTGGCCTCGGGCCAGGCTTGGGGAAAAGAAGAACTCCCAGCACCCCATCAAGCAGGTATCAAGCATGTGCATATTATAAAGGAAGAAATGAGGGGGCATTCCATCCCACCACTAGTGTAATTATCTCAACCCCTGCATTGTAAGGGCTATCTAGAGGTTATCTAGAGATGATTTCGGGGCTTAGCGTCCCCGCGGCCCGGTCCTCGACCAGGCCTTCTTTTTGTTTCACACCTACAGGAAGCAGCCTGTAGCCGCTGTCTAACTCCCAGGTACCTATTTACTGCTAGGTGAACAGGCGCATCAGAGCAAAAGAAACTGCCCATTTGTTTCCACCTCCACCGGGGATCGAACCCAGAAACTTAGGACTACGAATCTCAAGCGCTGTCCACTAAGCTGTCAGGTCAGGGTAGAGGAGATTGAACTAGAAACCATCTTTACAAAATTCCTTCCAATTAAAGCCAACAAAAGCATTATTTTTTGTAACACCTATGGGCACGAAGATGGTTTTTGCATGGTACACCGGTGTTATTATTTCCTAAATACAGTCCTGTACAGTGTAGTGAGAAAATGAGCATTCAAAATGACAAGAGTATAGTGGATTTAAAATGATAGCCTTACAAGGCCATACAACAGCTTTGATTGGTCCTTAACCTTTGCTGTCATCATAAGAAGGTAGTAATTAAAATTACAGAAGGCTTATGACCCTATTCAAGGTACAGTAGCTCTTATTTATATCCTCCTAAATTCATTCAATATGTCTAACCTATGCTTGAACCAATCCAGCGACAAATGTCTGTTCTTATCTAGTACAGTAATTTGTTTCAAATCAACAATCTGATTTCCAAACTATTATTTACCCCAGGTCTTTTCCGAATTTAAACTTAACTAATTTGTAGTCATTGTTTCACGTTCTACTTGGTATTGATATTTGAGCATCTTAATAACACCCTTATTGTACCCTTTTATCCATTTGAATACATCAATCATGTCACTCTTTACTCTTTGCCTTTTGAGAAAATATAAATTAAACTTTTTTTTAAAGGCTGTAGTTTATTGTATTAATGACAAATGATTGCCGAGATGATGAAATTACAGTGTGCCACATTGCTAAACAGATCCATACTGTTCTTTCTTTACCTATACAGTGACACCTCAACTTTCGAGTGCCCCTACTTACGAATGTTTCAAGTTACGACGTAAATTTAGTCGAAAAGTGCGATTTGACTTGTGACCGTGTCTGACTAACGACCTTTGTTAATGCACGTTTGGTTTGACCGAGTGTGTGGTTCCTGGTGGCACAGGCCGACCCGCCTCAGTTTACCTGAGCCGCCCACTTAGTAACGCTTGCGCTTGTAAAAAACTTCATTGATACTTTTTTGTTTTTTGAACTTAAAAATTATGAAAAGATTTTTAGTGAAACAAACAAGCAGTGAACCACAACCAGGTCCTAGTGGCATGCAGGCAAAATGTAGGAGTGTCCCCCCCAGAGAAATCATCACTGCCTGATGTTATAATGGAGGGGGACTCCACTTCCAACCAGTAACACCTCTCCTCCTCCTCGCCCCCCTCCTCAGTCTTCCATATGCCAACAAGTCCTCAATAAAGGCAAGATGAACATACTGCATTGCAGCTAGGAAAAGGTAAGTTGTCTTCAGTACAAAATGTAATTTTACGTTAAAATTTTTAGGGGTGTGGAATGGATTAATTCAATTTACATCATTTCTCATGGGAAAATTCGTTTCGACTTACGACCCATCTCTGGGAACAGGTTAAATTCACATGTCGAGGCCCTACTGTACTTTTAAATGTAATTTCTTTGATGGCTTTCTGTCCTTAATGGACCCCTAATTTACCAAGCACAGTACTGTATGAATTCAGTATTGAATAACTGTTAAAGGAAAGATGAATACCAGTGTAATATAAATTATAATGGTAAAATTACTTAAATGGATGAAGCAAATACACTGTAAAGTTCATTAGCAAACAACTTCAGCCACCGACATACTGTATTTTAATTAAGCATACTGTATTTGGTTAAAAGTACTCCTGAAGTTGATTTTATAGCGTACGCTTTCTATGCTTCTATTTTCTTAATACAGTATCAGTATTAAGACGAGCAATCAAGTTACCAAAATTTATGGTAAAGAAACTAGTAGTTATTGAAAGATTTATTTACTACAATGTTTCGTTCCACTCTGGAACACCAAGTAAAAAATGAAAACATAAGGTGCAATTTTGGGTTTTTTACGTGAATCCCTTTGCATAGCAATGGAACTGTCTTTTCCCTTCACCTTCAATGGCTCTGCACTGGAAGTCTACACCTTCACCAGCCCAGGCGAGTCATCTGTCCTGCCACCTCTCTGTACTCCCCCCCCCCAACGGGCCTGGCATGGCCTGGTACGACTCGGAGGCAAGCCGGGCACCTATGCTAACCGGTAGTTTGCCCCCCACAAACAAGCAGTTAGCCGCCTTCAACTGGCAGTAGTGCAGCTCAACACAAAGGCACCGCTAGCCACAAACGAGCAGTTTGCTAGTTGATCACCTTGCGTTGACACCGGGCAAGTCATCACCGCCGGACTGTATAAAGGGCACCACCTCCCTGGAGAGGCAGTCTCTCTCTCTCAGTGCTCTTGGAACACCTTGGTCTCTCTCACCCTTGTGTCCGAAACCGTGATGGAATGGTAGCTGTCTTCAGTACGCCAGTATATCTTTATGCTCTGTATTCATGGCTTGCAGTTTATTTTTGTATTAATATCATTATCTAGTTCACCTTTGCATTACATAATAGCCAAGTACTGTATTTTCAAGTGCCAATTTTGTTTATTAATATTTCAGTAAATTGTTTTAAATTATTTATTTGATTTTTTTTTTTTTTTTTTTTTGAGATATATACAAGTTGTTACATTCTTGTACAGCCACTAGTACGCGTAGCGTTTCGGGCAGGTCCTTAATCCTATGGTTCCTGGAATACGATCCCCTGCCGCGAAGAATCGTTTTTTCATCCAAGTACACATTTTACTGTTGCGTTAAACAGAGGCTACAGTTAAGGAATTGCGCCCAGTAAATCCTCCCCGGCCAGGATACGAACCCATGACATAGCGCTCGCGGAACGCCAGGCGAGTGTCTTACCACTACACCACGGAGACTGCTATGATGATTTTCATTTGTTTCCACCTGTGACTTACACACTGCAAGGCCAATAGAAGCCTTTTTTTTATGTGAGGGAGAATTATACCATCTTGGTTCAGTATAGCTGCGATACCACAACCCGTCACAGGTTAAATATACATGTGGAAGGGGTGAAGTTGTATGGGACGAGGTGAAGGGTCGAAGTAATATGCAACAATCATATTCCTTCAACCCTTAACCTTTCCCCCCATACAACTTGTCCCCTTCCACATGTATTTAACCTAAAATTGCACCTTATGTATTCATTCTTTTCCTGAAGAGGTTCTAGAGTGGAACATAACATTGTAGAAAATAAATCCTTCAATAACTACTAGAGTTCCTTTACCATCAATTTTGGTAACTTGATCGCTTTCCTTAATACCGATACTCGGAAAATAGTTAGAAGAATAGAAGGCTAACAATATAAGATCAACAATGCCAGCAATGCATTAATATTTAATAAAATAGGCTTAAAGGAATGCCTGCTGCCCAAGTATACAAATATTTTAATTAACTGCAGTGTTATTCAAGTTCAAATATAAAATAACAAATTTGTGCAGTTCTCTTTATGCCAATACCTGAAGGGTCACCCATTTGGGAGGAATTTTTTGCTGGTACAGTAAAACTATACACATTTTGTTCTATAGGGGCAGATATCCAGCACTCCCTCCCACGGGTTTGTCTTATGCCTCGCCCTACTAATTTTACCCTGAATCATGATTTGCCAGTTGATCCCCATACTACTGCTAGGTGTAGTCAAGGATTGGTAGCAGTTTCACTCTTCTCTGAAGGGGCGAGTTATTGGGGAAAGCTAAAGGAATTAAAACATGTAAAGAACGATATGATAACTTTGTATGGTTAAATTGATCACAGGAATTTTGGCAAAGATCATTTTCTGTTAAAACCATTTATTATAAAGTTAGGCTAAGTTCAGTGAGGCTGGAACAGATTAAACTAGATTTAGACTAGGGAGGTTTTAAAAACCACTGGTAAGCTACCTTTGATACAAGTGCTTTATATCCCATACTTACAATACATAAAATTTTCAGGGAACTGACATGACATAAAAACCATTTGGTAAGGGTGATACAAAAACCAAGGGGACATAGATGGGAACTAAGCTCCCCAAAAATGGATATAAACTATGTATTTATATGTAAATATGATAAGAGCCAAACAGGGTTGGGAACTTAATAAAATCTTACTTACACAAACAAAAAATGCTTTTCAAATTCTGAATACCACACACTGCAAGTAATTAGTGGCTTTTTATAATATACAAATACTGTATACTTAATTTTTAAATATACAAGTACACAAGCATGTCAACAAAGTTCATTTTGTGATAGTTAAAATCAATATAGTACATGTATATTAAGACTTAAGATAAGCTGTGGGGAGGGAAAAGCCCTATGCCCAAGGTATATTACAAAATCATTGGCAAACCATTTATGTACAAAATTATACATTTCCCTCCAACCATGGAAGAAACATTTTAGTTTTTTTAAATGGAAATCCACCTCCCCCCGCCCCCATTAAAGATCTAATACTGCCATTAAACCTTCCATACAAAGGGCCAAGCAATGGCTACAGGCGCCAACCAATCTACACTTGTGTGAAACAAACAACATAACACATCGAGGGTGACCACAGAACATCATCAAATCCTACATTCTGATTGTAACATTCTGAATGTAATGTACTTGAAACCTGAGTAAACATTTACTTATGATTTACGAGGTAACTTAGGCTGGCCTGACCTCTCTATATACAATACGTCCCGCTTTATTCCTCCCCCTTATATTAACTACATTTTCCGTTGAAAGCTCGAAAAACCTCGTTGTTAATAACCCCAGCAATGAAGCATACTAATATACGAATCATAATTACAAGCATATATATATAAGCCAGTCAGGACAGGGCGTCTTGGGTGGCATGAAAGGCGTCAAACTCAAGACGCTCATCTTAAAACACACACACACACTCATATAAACTGTGCCTTGCAACACCGTGTCTTAAGATGATCAACCTGCAGATCTTCCCATCAGGTAAACCATAAGTTACCCTCCAGCAACCCAAAAAAAGAAATTGATAATAATAATACGCGTGAGAACAACATTGCGAGGTTCACTGCGGACATTTGTGGTCATGTGATCTTTTCATCATCATTTATCAGACTCATCGGGTAATGTTGAGCCTTTGAGAGGCGTTACTCACACGCAGCGAGAGTCTTGGGGTACTCTAGGGTGGTTCCCGGGCGGCGAGGGTCACTGTCTCAGTAATAAACACGGCGAAAATAAGACTCACCAGCAGCTGACTCTGAGAACGGCACCGTAAGGGATCTCTCGCCGCCGTGTTAGCGACAGTGTTGCCACGCTCACCCCCTATATTCCGCTATATTCAGCGCTGTTTGCTCTAACTATATATAAATCATACTTCCTGTACTCCATAACATTATATCTTTACCTAAAAATGATCACTATTGTAAACAGACTATTACCCCTTGTAACATGCTTAGCTGATAAACTCATTATCTCTCATATAAACAATTTCGCTATACCTGCTAACATGCATGAATTTTTCTGAGGATCCTCTATCACTTAGTTGCCTCGACGAGGACAGGAAGTCAGCGGCTTGGCAAAGATCCCCCTTTTGTTCTGATGATTTTATATATTTGGATGTTAAATTACTGCAGTTTTGGCATAGATTGTCATGCTGTACCCAGAGTTTGCTAGTGGAGGCTAAGCAGGTTCTCTCCTGATTCCATGTATGACTAACCATCCTGTGAGATGGTGATACAATAATAATAATAATAACAATAATTTATTTAGGAACAGTACATACATAGTTGCAGAGTTACAGTATAAACATTCTGTTAGATTTAAAGATAGAGGTAGTACATACAATACCTAAAGCCACTATATAGTACGCATAGCGTTTCGGGCAAGAAATAAGAAATAATAGCTATAAGTTCATACAAGATGAACTTATAGCTAGTTTTTGACTCACACTATATAATCTTTCATATAGAATAGGGTAGCAGCACACTGCTATATATACCAGATCCCGATAGTACAGTCAGGTTCATGCTCGACGCATAATCCAGAATTCCGGGTTCGAATCCCGGGCGGGACAGAAATGGTTGGGCACATTTAGAAACTGTACTTGTGGTCGATCTCAAAACCATTGAAGGTGTGAGGATGTGTGTTAGATTTTGTAACTAGCTCATCAAGATTGTAACTTGCTTAGCTAAATGAATTGTGAGGTTCAATCCCTGAGCCCATTATGTGCCTCTGTAACCCTTTCCACTACCGCCCACAAGATGGGTATGGGGTGCATAATAAATGAACTAAACTAAAAAAAAAAAACTATGTACTCTTATAAACCTAATGTACCTTTTCGTATATAAATAACAAAATAATAAATAAATAAAAATAAATAGGTTAATACTAGCTTGTCAAGCTAAGAATGTTAATACTAAAAAAAACCACGTTAACGTCTTCATCTCAAGATCCATATAGAGTTAATTAGGTCAGGTAAGTCTTTTCAATTATACAAAAAAATCTAACAGTTTATTTTAATAAACCTCTTCAATACTAGTTAAATTCTTCTCCTCAGGGTCTACAGAGGTTGATTACGTTATGTAAGTCTTTTCAGTCTATAACTGCAACTTTCTCTCTTATTTTGTATTGTGTTCTTATGGTCTAGCTACAGGTATATCTGCTCACCATGTTCTTCTCCACAAGGTAATTATGAGGAGAGAGCGCTAAGCCACCTATCTCAAATTCATTTTCAAATGTTTATTCAGGTAAAAGTACATACATAGCAGATGAGTTCACACATAATGTTGGATTTATAGATAGAGTTAGTATATTCAATACCTAAAGTCACTAATACGCACAGCGTTTCGGGCAAGGTGTGGGGGAAAAAAACATACTAAAACTTAATACCAATTGAGATTAAAGTATAAATTGTGTTGAAAAAGAAAAAAAAGGGGGGAAGGGGGCATGGCAAAAATCGAGAGTTATACAAGTTGGTCAACAAACAATATTGTTTGAAAATAACAAGACATGGGTTGACATTTAGGGGTAAGATAGGTTACATAGAGTTTATTAGGCAGTACTTATTTTTTCTCTTAAACTGGTTGAGAGAGGTACAACCTTTGACATGATTGGGAAGGTTATTCCGCATTCTGGGTCCCGTGATTTGTAAAGGATTTTTAGTTTGGTTAAGGCACACTTGGAATATTCAAATTTAAATCTGTTAGCAGATTTAAGCAGATCTCTCTAAAAGATAGATCTGCATGTGAAGCACATGCAAATCTCTCTTTTCCAGTAAACGTTTATTTATAATCTGAGCAATATAATTAAATTGAATGATATATCACCCACAGGACTACTAACCCATGGAACCGCATACCCACCGAAGCTGTAAATGCCAAAACTCTGCTAACTTTTAAAATGCAGCTGGAAAATATAATCAAGGCAAATGGGGACCTTCGACAAGCCGCTAGCTTCCTGCGTCGTCGAGGCAACTAGTGTTAGTGGCTCTCTGGTAAACTCAGGTATATACATCGGATGTCAACGCCGTAGGCGTTGGGATAAATTTGCTTAGTCTTCCATTAGATATTAGATGAAAGAAAATGCGTTTTCTGTTTTAAATAAATAAGAGAAAATTGATGGTGGCGAGATAGCCGGCTATACTCCGCTAAACTCACCATACTTATAATTCCACGTTATAATAATATTTTATTTAGTTACAAGAAGGTACAATTGGCTTATGGGATTACATAATATTGGTATTTTAATATTCTTACAAAGCTATAATAATAATAATAATATATTTTGTCGTCATGGATAAGCAGCCTTACATATACTTTAGGTTTATATCGGGTGCTTTAAGGTCGAATTACTGACCCTCCTCAGGATGCAACCCCACAACAAGCTGAGTAATTCCTGGGTACCTATTTACAGCAAGGTAAACAGAGCCATCAAGTGAAAGAAAATGTGCCTAACCATTTCTGTTACGCCAGGGGCATCGAACCCAAGATCCCAATTGTGAGTCGAGGACATAAACTACAATGTTACAGAACCCATCATCTGATTGAATTGTTTTTCCGTTGTCGGAGAGAAGAAGCCTGGGCCTAGCTGGCTTCATTAGGTCCTTAATTCTTAATCAACATCAGTAGATAGTTTTACCTTATAAAGGTAATACGTTTGACTTTGCTGTAACAATCACTTTTACCCTTATTTCAACCCATGTTAGTTTGGTTTCTAGTCTTAGGCTTAATATTTAAGTCCATCTGGAAGCCCCTGTTATAATTCGCATTCTCACTAAGGCAGGCGTGGCATAATCAGCTAGGGAACGAACATAATCAGGAACGGCATGTAAAACATTCTTAACACTTTGTGTCTTGTATAGACGGGGCCTGATTGCTCTCGGTTATATTCAATTGAGATTTTGCTTTCTCTTTCAGAATTGATCTGCTGAATGTCATTTTAGAATCTATCCATACTCCAAGATATTGGTATTACGTAACTCGCTGTAGGTTAGATGTGTAGAATGAATGTGTAGAGACCTGTCCGAAGTGTTGCCACCGGTTATCATTGCCTTAGATTTTGTATAGATATTTTTAGCCCTAAAATGCTACATTCAGATGTTACTATATCTAGCGCCTTTTGTGCTCAATTCAAAAATGAAGAAATTAATGCAAATGTTCACCTACCTATCATCAATCATTAAATTCGTGGAATTAATAAATAAAGATATTCATTATGCGATAAAACTTGCACTGGATAAACTTTTAAACAATGAATAGAGCTCGACAAATCAAAATCAAAGCAACCGTATAGCCTAATATATCTGCACAGAAGCGCCTCCTTTGTTGTCAGGAAGCTGTGTCATTACCAGGACCTCTGATGATGTTAAAGGTCGGCTCACACAGGCAACACAAACTAAGATACAACAAAATATAAATTAACTAGACGGACAGAGAATTTACAGATTGGGAAACTTCTCTAAGCTATCAGGGGGAATAAAACCCCCCGATAAGCTGATGGCTTTATTCACGGTATATCAGAGATATACATGTCAATTCGGGTAAATATAGTGAATGCTCTCGCTGGCAATTCATTCCTTCAACTGTTTAACATGTCATATCAAAACAAGCTCTTCAATGACTGAAGATTCCTAAACAAGTCACGAGAGAGATCCTCAGTCACGTGACGTGACGTCACAATGAACTCACGAATCAGATTTGTCGTCATCCCTTTCGCATCGATCAGTGTTGCCAGTCGCTCAATTTCCTTGTATTAAAATATCTCTCAGCGTGTCTTATTTAAGGTACTGCATGACAGGTAAATTTATTTTCATTGTTACAAAAGATAAATATAGCTGAAAAAGTCGATTACACACTGCAAATACAAACTTTTAAACGCTAATATTTAGGTATTGCAAATTCTAGCGGTAATTCGCTGAGTCAGTATCACTGCTATCACTCTGCCGATTGTGTTTGCGCGCCAGTTGGTAGATAAAATATATATATATATATATATATATATATATATATATATATATATATATATATATATATATATATATATATATATATATATATATATATATATATATATATATATATATATTTTATATATATATATATATATATATATATATATATATATATATATATATATTTGCTGTATATATGAATTGTATATTTTGATGCGTGTTCCAATTTGACTTGAGTCTAATGGTCATCAAATAAATATCGACATAATTGAGACTATCCCTTCGCTCGAGTTATATGATGGATATAATGTGATTTCGATTTCAGCATTATGATTTTCCTTTGAATATACAACTAATTTAACTTTCATCTTTAGTAAGAAAGATGTGAGAAGGAACCCGTAAAAACTTATTTACTGATGAATATGTTTCTATATGAATGTAGCAGTGAGGTTTGACTCAGCCAGAATGCAGATTAGAATCTGATTTTTTTTCACTGATGACAAGATCATTTCATCTGGCGAGCCTGTTGCCGGTGTAATATTCAATAATTTTCTTGAGTTTAGCGATACATTTATCACATCAATCCCAACCCGTCCCCCCTAAAGTTTCCCAATATAAAAAAAAACTGTCGTACTGAAGTGCCTTTATCCTTCTATTCGGGACATCGACGAACTTATTACAATGGGTTTTATGTCCTGCTGGCCTACCTGACTAATGCTTTGTGATGTATTTTAGGAAGGTAACTTTCTCTTCCTCTCTCTCTCTCTCTCTCTCTCTCTCTCTCTCTCTCTCTCTCTCTCTCTCTCTCTCTCTCTCTCTCTCTCTCTCTCTCTCTCTCTCTCTCT